AAGAGTATTGATAATACAAACAGATATACAGTAGATATAGAAAGATCGGTATAATTGATTGTATTTTTCGATTCATTTGTATGTAGATTTTCATATTAGTACGTCAAAAATATTGGCGTAAATATAGTTAAGCATTCATATTTTTTCTTACTTTAGTAGGTATGTACATCTTGATATGGACAACTGATAGTTTTACTATTTACTTTGGTGTTATACATAGCTGGAACGAAACTGTATTTTATAATCCTAAAATATTTCTATAAATATTATTTTAGGAGCTGTATGTATTATGTTGGGCTTTAAATTTCGAATAGGTGTATTCATGTTTGGTATTCCCTATTGGTATATTCATCTAATGGATAAGACTTACTGGAATAATCATAGTTATTTGTATGGGATAGTAACAATACTTCTTATGGGTTCTTCAGCTAACCATTCTTTGTAAGAAATTAAATTTGTACGTACTTTTGAATTAAGAAAATTCATTTTTAGCTCTATAGATAGTGTGATTAACAAGAGTATTAGAAATCAGCCAGTACCGTACTGGAATTATTTTATATTAAAGTATCAGTTTTTATGCTATACTTTTTAGCAGGATGAAGAAAAGTGGAACAGAATGGCTAGAAGGATATTCCTTGATTCGATTAGGGGAACATTGGGTATTTTTTCCATTTAGGTAAGTTTTTTACTACCTCTAATTCAGGGTGAGTCTTAAATGAGTGCAACTATTTTTAGGGGTGGAATATTTCGACCCCAGGAACTATGAGTTTTTTTTTGCTACAAGAAGATGATGAAAATCGTGCATTTTCTTTTAAAGTATCCTGTATATTTTAGAGAACTTTTTATTTAGAACTTCCTGTTCATTACAAATTTTCCCACGGTATAATGTATTGTTATATCTATCGTTACGGCCATATATTGCGGCTTTACTCTATGGTTACGGCACTAAATGGGATGGAAATACAGAAAAAACTCGGTGGCTCTCAAATTTTTTTAAAAATTAATATATTTTTTTAATTTTGAAACTCCGTTATTTTGGACTTATTTGAAAAACGGTAAAGAGAAAATGTGTACCTTTTATCGAGATCTTTACAGCCCTGAAAATGTTTGCATTTATTTAGCCTCACCCTGTGTATATTAGTAGAATCTTCTAATTGTTTTTATAGAATCATTTTTTCCGTAGAGCAAATTGACTATCTCGTCATACACTGGTTTGGTTTTCTATTGGATTTGACTGTTGGTTTTTGGATGCTGCTAGAGTTTAGCAGACCTATAGCACTATTCTTCTGCTCTACGTTTCATCTTATGAATTCCAGACTGTTCAGTATAGGTTTGTACTTTTTGTATGGAGGTTCTATTAATAAATCTACCACAGATGTAGGGATTTTAGCGATAATATATTATTTTTGGATGTCTCTATTTTCATCCATAACTCTATAAATCACAGGGAAACTACCATTTCGGAACACTTTTACTGTACAAGGCTGTTCACGCTATTAGACACATAATATACTAACCAAATGATTAGATTTTTGAAAATTGTGTGCGATGGGATCATTGGAGGACCGCTAAAGCTATATATGACATTAAAATTGCTACTAATTTGCAAAATATACAGTCCGAGAGTGTCCCAAATAAATAAACAATATCAAAGTTGTATTTCTTTAAATTTAAATGGAATGCCCTGTGTATTGAAATGATGCATTAAAATTATTTACCTACTGCATTTTCACAAAATCGTAAATTTTTCAAAAACGCTAAGATTAAAATGCGGCAAGCCTTAATAAAACTCACCTTTATTATAATCGCAGAAATTAAAAATGTAATAATATACAGGGTGTTCCATTAAAAACAATAAAATTTTGATGTTTTTTATTTATTTGGGACATTCTGTACTTTTTGAAAATAATTTTAAATTGTAGCATTAGTAGTCCTCGAATGATCCCATCATTCAGTTGTCGAATGAGCTGAATGATCCTGTATAAGTATTTAAAAAAATGTCTATACCTATGTGGCGGATACATCTCTCCAAAAAAATCCTATATGGGTATTTTGCCACTACTACAAAACACCAAAACTACAAAATAAAATAGTTATTTTTGTAAACACTCCTGCGCTAATCCAAGGAAAACTACTTGCCAGACTTTTACAGATAAACAAATTTGCCGAACGAACAAAAAAATGCTTAACGTTTCGGAAAGTTTATCTCTTTCCGTCGCGGGGAAGCAAAAAATACAAAAAAAAAAAAATTAAATATTTCAATGCAACTATCCGAGAACACTTTAAAAGTTTTTTTTAAAACAGATACGTCTACAAAACCTTTGACGTTATTTAGCTTGGCCACTCATTTTAATCTTTCTTACAGGAATGTTCCCTTATGTATGTTTGGCAATGTTGCCTTTATTTTGTAAAGAAAACTGGCCTCGAACCTTTTGGTCTTCTATAGTCGATAGGTTTCAATCAAACGTTGCCAATCAAAGTTTTAAAAAGAAACGTGAGAAGACCGAGCGAAAGAAAATATATAGTCACCCAATTAAATTAAAGGAAAAGTTAGTTGTTGCTTGTCTTTTTTTCCACATGGGATTACAAGTGTTTCTTCCTTATTCCCATTTCATAACTAAAGTAATCCAAAACTTATTATATGTGTTAGATAAATATTCTTATTAACTCAATATTATTATAGGGGATACAATACTTGGACTGAGGGTTTGTACGGATATTCCTGGGACATGATGGTGCATTCCTGGAATTCCGTTCTTGTGGTTGTTAAAGTTGTTGATAATGAATCGGGACAAGAACATTTCTAGATCCTAACGCCTGGAGTTTAAAAAATCGATGGAATTACTATGCAGATATGTCCTTGCAGTATGCTCAATGTATAAAGAAGAACTTGAATGAAGGCATTAAAGAGAATAATGCAGAAATTGTTATTCCTGACATCTCGAAAAATATATCGATTTATATAGATGTCTGGTGTTCCCTAAATGGACGTTTTCAACAGAGAATGTATGACCCTAATTATGATTTGTTGCGGGCAAAGTGGTCGCCATTTGAACCGGTTGAGTGGTTAATGCCTCTTATGATTGAATATAACAATTTTAGGGAACAAATTCCTGAAATTACTGAACATGTGCATTCATGGAATAATGAAAGTAATGTGATTTTTGTTGCTGATTTTCCAGGTATGAATTACTGAAATATTCAATATTTTTATTTATATCTAAATATAGTGTTTTTGTTTATTAAAATATTGTGTGTCGAAACTTGGTTGGAAATATCTATCTAGCTATATTTTCTTTTTGAGTAAAGTGGCTTGATTAGTCAACTTTTTTTTAAACTTATATTTTATTTTTTATTTAATTTTTATTGAAATTTCAATTTGTTTTTGACATTTTAAATTTCGCTTTTTATTATTGAAAATCGACTAAATAAGAATTACAGAACATAATATTGTTGCAGTACAGGATGTCCTGTACAGGGTGAGTCTTAAATAAGCCAGATATTTTCAGGGCTGGCAGATCACGCTAAAAGAAACATATTTTATTTTTACCGTTTTTCAAATAAGTCCAAAATAACCGAGTTATTTTACTTTAAAAATTTCCAAAAAAAACTTTTTTGTTTAAATTTTGAGAACCACTGGATCTTTTCTCGGTTTTCTTTCTTGTAAATTTTATCTACTTCCTATTTTGCTATATTATCAAGAATTTATGTTTTTTAACTAAAAACTAAAAAAAAATCCAAACAATTTTCCAAAAAATTCCAAATTTTCAAAATTTTTCTTTCGCGAAAAAAACCTAATAATCATGTTTCTGGGGTCGAAATATACTACCCCTAAAATATTTGTACTTATTTAAGACTCACCCTGTATATAAACGACACTTTTAGATGATATCTCGCTTATTTTTAAAGATACAGGATTGCGATTTTTGCGACACTTTTTGCTTACGAAACCACTCATGCCACCAACAAAATTTTTATAGCCCTCTTTGTTTCTGAGATATAGGGTGCAATTGAAAAGTGGCTCTTTTGGGACGTTCTCTGTATCTTGGTTGTTTTTTAACTTATTAGAAAGATGAAAATGCATTTTTATAGAACTTCTTGCGTAGAATCCAGAGGTGTAGCTTCTTTCGAGCTGGTGTATTCAGTTCTTTTCAGTCCTGAGGAAAACATATATTTTTCGAATAAAACACTCTGTATATTCTTATCAAAGACCCATTAAACCAACAATTTTTTCTCCATTGATGATGGGGTTTCATAGTACACGAACCGTCGTAAAAATATTATGAAAAGATAGGGCTCTACGAGCTCCATCTACATTCCGAGTTTCAGCCCCTTAGCTCACATAGGGCTCGAGTTACAGCGCTCCGTCTTAACCTCCGATCGTTACCACTTTTCCTGACGCCACTCGGGCCTTGAATTTTTACTCCCATCGCGCGAAAAGAAGTTTTACTTCAATAAACACATTTTAATTTATAGGTATGTATCTGGAAAATTTCATTGAGGAGGATTTTCATAATGTATCTTTGACGGTATTGAGAGGTGAAGTAGTATACGAAATGGACTATGTAGCTAAACAGTCACTTGGTATGAAATTATCAGCTGGAGAATCTGTGTCAGTTCTAGAAGGGTAAGAATCCTTGAAGAATTAATTTTTATAACTGGTTGGTTCTTATTTTAGATATACTCACAAAATACACACAGTGAGTGCTGATCCTTCATGCTATATGTATACATTTTCTCAAAGACCTATCGAAAATGACGACGGTGATGATAAAGACATGAAAACGTACTCTCCTTTTCCCTTGATTGAAGATATTTCAGCCCGAAACGCTGCTTTTTTACGGATGATTGATTTAATATGGAATGCTACCACCCATATATTGTTTGATTATCCGCTTACAAAGAACGGAATAGTAAAACCTGATATTTAATGTTTAAATAAGAGGAGAAGTGATTCTATTTATGTATTGTGTTGATGGTGATACTAGAAATAAATCAAATTTTGTTGGGTTTGACATTTTATTAAAAACATTATATATACATAAAAATAAACTTTAAGAAACAGTATTTACAAGAGTATTTCTATATAACAAGTAAATAATGACTCCCCAATTAAATACCATTCTATCGAATAAAATATGATTTTGATTTAGTTTATCTAGCTATCTTCAGTCGATGAATAGAATTAAATGATTAAGAGATTAGGCCAAAGGTGACGGTATGGTTATTATTTGGGGAGTCAGGATTCCTTTGTTAAAACATATATATTAATGTAGGTTTCTTTTTATTAAATGGTTTTATATAAGAACTCGAATTCTACAATAAGAATATCTCTAAATTGCAAAACATAGAAAACTACAAACATTTATTATACTATTTCCGATCCAGAAACTATTAAAGCTCATTTTAAAAGTTGATACGACTTCTTATACAAAACCACTAATACCTACACTAACTTTCTCTATTAACAGAACCTGAAGGACAGAATAAAATAAATATTTATCTTAATTTTTCTCTGATATTGTTCCTAACACAGATGTATTCATGGATGGGGGTACAGCCAGGGGATTCACAGTTATATTTGTATGAGGAGACTTGGGTTTGCCCTCTAGAAAATAGGTTTCCATCGAACCTTTACCTTTAACCTCGATGGTTCCTCTGCACGTGAGGAAGTAGCCTTTTGCGTTGAGGATTTGATATACTTCTTTCGTAACCTGAAAACAATAAATATATGATAATATTTTCTTTATTGAATGTCGATTTTCGAGTGAACTAAGAGTACAACCAATGTGCTCAGTACAATAAGATGTACTGAAAAAAGTATGCAGAACAGCATATATTTTCCCGAGAAGATGATATAAAGCGTCAGTTTAAAAATTTTCTCTCCCCGGTTTACAAGATCGTCATAGCTATTCACTCCTAGACCGACTAAAGACTCTATCTTGTCGAGAGTGTCAGCATCATCATCATTTTCAGCTTATTCAACCGTTTCCAATTATGGTTAGGTTGTAGTTACCTAATAACCTAACCTAACCATGCTGTAATTTTTTTGGTCCATCTGTTGTTCGTCCTCCTTGCCAGGTATCCCGCCCATTACCACTTGAGAGATTTGATTCTGTGGATGACATCTATTACCTGGGTCTTTTGTCGTATCCACTCTATTCTTTTACGATCCTCTTGGTTATTCCCAGCATATTTCGTTCCACTGAGCGTTGTGAGATCTGCAGTTTCCTGATGATGTCCGTTTTAAGTGTCCAGGTTCCGCATGCATAGGTCATGACTGGTAGTACACATTGGTCGAATGTTTTCTTCTTTAGAATGTAATAGAGTGGCAATAATAAGCATTCAATATAGGCATTCTAGATTTGAATATGATTGAGTTTCTTCCATAAGTACTCCATGCTAACTTAATTCTTCTGTTGATTTTTTGGTGGTAGACAAATATACAAATATATAAATTCTTCTATTATTTCCAGTGTTGTGTTATTTATTAGAATGTCTTTTCTTTTCACTGGTTTGTTGTACATTACTATAGTTTTTGCTAAATTCATTTTAAGACCTACTTTATTGCTTGCTGTATTTAGTTCCTTAATTTGTGCTTGTAGTTCTTCAGGGCTATTGGCAATTAGGACTATGTCATCAGCGAATCTTAGATGGTTAATATATTCTCCATCTATTTTTAATCCTTTGTTGGACTAGTCCAGTTAACGGAAGATTTCTTCTAATATTGCTGTAATAGTTTTGGGGATATCGCGTTTCCCTGTCGTATTCCTTTGCCAGTTGGGAACTCTGAGTTCTTTTAAATATCATTTCTCTTCCATTGGCTTCTTTGTATAGAAGCCAAAGTATATAGATTATTGCCTTAGGATATATCGAGTCGAAAGCCTTCTCAAAGTCTACAAAGGCTAGTTTATGTTCGGCTCTATGTACGTGATCAATCGTGCTGAACTCTTCTAGGGCCTGCTTGTTCTTTAGTTGTGCAGCGTGTAGCATGTTTTGTATTATGTTGTTTATTATTTTTGCGAATATCTTGTTTTTACTGGTAGTAGGTTTATTGGTCTATAATTTCTGATGTTTTCCTTGCTGCGTTTCTTATGAATTAGAATTACATTGACGCTATTCCAGTCTTGTGGTATATATTTTCTCCTTAGACATTCTGTGAAGCATTTTCCAAGTTCTCCTACCAGCGTACTGTAGGTATTTCAGCTGTTATTCCGTCGTTCCCTGCTCTTTTGTTATTTTTCATATCTTAAAGCGCGTTTTCTACTTCTCCCACGAGAACTTCTGGGGCGTCATCTTGTGGTACGGGCAGTCTTTCTTCTTCACGTAGGTATGTTTTTTTGGGGCTTTATATAGGTCGCTGTGTAGAACCTTGTTACCAGGCTTATAATTTCGTTTTTATCTGTTATTCTGATATTGTTGTCTTAATGCGATTAGCTGCTTCTTTCTGATCATGAGGGATTTCTTAGCGTTCTTATAGATTTTTCTGTTTTCGATTGCAGTTTGTACAAGTTTTTCATTGTAGTTTTTGATGTCTTCTGCAATCATCTTTCTTATTGTTTTACATAATAAGATTGAGTCGATCGCTTTTAATGGAATGACTATTGGAAAAGATGGCTATTTTTTGTGTCCTTCTTCTTCTCCTTCGTACGTTAGGACCAAGTCCTGTGTTTTCACAGTGTTTCTTCTTGTGTCCGATAGATTCTATCTAAGATAAGTTGTACGCATCTTTCGATAGGGTAGATATCTGCCTGAAGGATGCTGGGATAGGTGCCCATTGGTTCTGAGTGTTGATGTATCATATAATAGGATCAAAATATTTGTGATCAAGTGTGCGTTATATAACAACAGAAGAATAATTATTATGGAAAATTACAAATTTAATAGAAAAGTCCTCTTTGTCATAAATATTATAAAACTGTTTTTTAATTGAACGGCATAAAGTAATTCCTTGTATCATTGCCCTTTTCCACAATTATGTTGATTGATTTTGTTGTTTGATTAGTATCTAAGTACAGTTCAGTAATTGCGGATGAAAACAATACAATATGATAATTTATATACTAATTTTACCTGTATCTTATCGCATATTCCAGTGCTGTCCATTCGGCTGGCCACGTTAACCGCGTTGCCCCAAATGTCATACTGGGGTTTTCTGGCTCCAATTACGCCAGCCACCACTGGTCCGACATTGATACCTATTCGTATCTTGAAATTGTTGAACGAGTGTGCGTTCACTTCCTGTAATTGTTCCCTCAATCTAAGCGCGTAGTCCGCCATAGCGATCACATGCCTGTAGCCTTGCATGTCGCAAGTGTTTTGCGTTAAACCTGGAACAAGAAGTTTATGATTTATTTGAACTTAACTCTAGCGGCCGTTTTACGAACTTGAAAATAATTTCCAGCAATTTCTCATAGCCCTTTTATTCTTAAATATTTTTTTCCGTATGCCCTACGGCTAATACTTTTCGAGATACAGCCGAGAGCTATTCTTAGTGGGACAGCCTGTACAGATGTCTCCAAATAGTAATGAAAATAAATTAGAACCAAATATTAACAGTTTTGTTTAAATTGAGATAAATATTTGTGAGGACCTTTATATTTTATAGAATATAAACAGATCTTTTGTTATTATTCAAGCAATATTTAATTCTCTTGTTAGATGTTATTTTCTTTTATCCAGTTTTCAAACAAGTAGGTTGTGAGTTAGATTAGGTATATTACAATTTTTTCTAAAAGTTGTACGTACTCTACTGTACTAAAATTAACTAACCTGATGCCGCCATATATGTCGCACCAGTGCTCTTAATTTTCTCGATATATCTGAACTGGTCCTCGGACAGCATCTCGTCGAAATCAGCAATAATTTCGTTGAGCAGCCTCAAACATTCCACTCCTTCGTTGTTGCCTTCCAGCTCCACATAGAACTCGGAGAAATTGGGAATCGAAGCGAACATGATGCAAACGAAGTCGCATTGCTCGTGATACAGTTCCTGGAAAGGAATTAATTGCTTAATTTAAATACCGATTGTTTTTGTTCATTTTGTTTAATTATTTTTTATATTCGACAAAAATTCCCAGGTCCCAAAACAGTAGGTGTTTTGTAAAAAAGCTATAGACTGAAAGCAGATAAATCTGTGTTTGAGAGACAAAACTGACAAAGGACTTTGCTTTCCTTTAATTATATCTGTGATATCCGGTGCCTTTGTCTTTGTATCATGGACGTACTAAATTTTTAATTATAGGGGTGTAGAAATATACGGGATATACCAAACAACTTTGGAATATACAGGGAAAACATACCCGATACAGGGAAACATATGGTAATAGTTTCCGGAAAAAGGTTATGTGGAATCAATTTAGCTTTTAATAAAAATATAAGGACGTATCCATGACATAATATACATAATAATGTGTATCCATGGCACATTTTAATTTGATTTGAAATTTTGGGTATTTATTGTGCTTTTCTAAGCTTATTTTATGTAAATAATATAATTATTTATTCTACAATAATTGATTTTGTTAGAGGTAGTAAATTTAGAAGGATATTTTTTTTGTCAAAAATTAAGAGTGGCATTATAGTGAATTTTGAGTTGTGTAGCTCGCAGAAGATCTGTAAGTTAAGCCTGCAAATAAAATACTTGTATTATTCAAATAGAACTATCAACTATTTTGGTGTTTATTCACAAAAACAAGAAGATGTGAGATAAAAAATAGAGTAGTTTAAATTCTCAAAAAATAATCCTAAATAATTCAGATGGCATAAGAATGTATTTTGTGCCAAATGCACATGTAAGTGCTGTCAAGAATTATCACTATCCAAGTCCCGTTTTCTAATGGTAATTTTTTACTTTTAATCTGAATTTTCCAGATCGCTTTTAAATCTTCTAGTCGGCGTGTCAACTGGGCATCGAACAAGCTGAAATTCTGGTAATTGCTTGGTATTTGCCGCTGATTATAGATTGGCGGCTCTCAAAATGTTGCCATTATTTTATTAAATTTTTAAAGTTAAATAACTCAGTTATTATCAATTTATTTTAAAAATGGTAAACAGAAAATATGTTTCTTTTGACCAGATCTACCACCCCCTAAAATACTTACACTTATTTCTGAGACACCCTGTAGTTACCGCTGAGATCCTTGATAGCGACATTAAGTTATTCGTTTATAAATGTTAAAACTACAATAGAAACATTAAAAATAAATATTTCAGAAATTCTTTATATTTGGTATATCGTAGCTTTAATGCCGGGTCCAGACCAAGCAGACAAAACAACGACAAGACAGAAACATTCATGTTTTACGATAAAATTGCGACAAATCCAATACATTTCTGCGACATTTTTGTTTTGTTTCAAAATTCGAAGACTTTTCAATGTCCCGTCTCGAATCGGTAAAGATCAAAGTGTCTATGTTTTGTTCGTATATTTTCCCACAAGTTGTCGGTGCAGTGTGGATGGCGTGTGCTGCCAACAGTAGGAGACCAGTGAAATCACACATGGTTAATAAAACTCATTCGCAACAACTAAACTTTTGACTTTTTTGTACTTTTGTCCTTGCGATATGTGGACAATTTGTCTCAAGTTTGTCTTGTTTTTGTCTCAAAATCTTGTTTAGTTTTTGTCGCCTTGATCTGGACCCGGCATAACATATGACAAGTAGTGAAAATAAATGTAAAGTATTATTTAGCTGTCACTGTCGACGTCAGAAGCTTCAGCTACTAATATATAGAATAGTTAATCTGAAATAGCATTTCTAGGTCAATTATATGTTTGAATGGAAAATCCATTTTCTCAGCGAATACCTTTGTTTCTTGAATACAATTTTTGCTTTTTATTTGTTGATTGCTCCCGATTTTTCTTTATTGCATAATATTCGACAATAAAGTCGCTTAAGATTTTCTTGGAATGTCAATTATTTTTAATTAGATAAAAGAATAAAATTAGAAACCCCATCAGGGAATAAATTCTCAACTTGGAAACCTCAAGTACCAGAATATAATATTTTGTGGGAGAAGAACTTTTTTAAACAAATACCCATTAATATACTAAAGAGGGTAAACAGTATTTTTTGTTTTCAAGGGTCGTCTCTTTTGTTCTCTGAAGTGTAGCAAAAGGTCTGAATCACACAAAGGTAAAGCTCGGCTTGTTTTAATCTAAGAGGTACATAAAATGTGTACATTAGTGAGTGTAAATAAATTTACCAAAAGTGGTTTATCCGCTTGAAGAAGTTGGGTGCTAATGAGGAGATTATATGAAAGTTTACTTATTTTCTTCAAAGCCTGGTGCTTTATGTCTTTCATATGGGCGAAAGCAAAATATCTGATTTTCTTAATTAACAGCCTTTTTCCCTCATCACAATGTCATGTTGACAACAATGTGAGGTTACAAGTAAGACTTTTTATTAATACTATTCATTTACGTTGGTTAAAGGCAGGACGACACGGTCAAAGTTACTTGGACCAAGTATACTAGGATGCTTCCTGCTGCCATATTGCTGTACTTATAATAATGCTGCGCGCTTCTCACTTGTACATCGCTTGTATAGTATACGAGATGTAATTAATGAAATATCATCGTAACAACAGACATTTTAGAAACGTCTATTTCATTAAGATTTATGAAAAAAAGTCCTTTACCTCGGGCACAGATACCGCTACGTTTTGGAGACAGTTCGAAAGCATATTCGTTATTTTGATAACTATGATTAGTTTTTACTGATTTTAGTACTGCTGTGAATTTTGTCAACTGCTGTAAACCTTTGTGTTTTTTGTACAAATATTCAAACGTTCACTAGTATAAAATTTTATCCTTAATTTCACCCTCTTAGGGGATGAATTTTAAAAATCCTTTTTGAGCACTTACTTTCCGAAAATCGCTTCTTAGTGTTCAATTATGCCGCTTAAGAGACAAAATTTCGTACTCTTAGAACAGATTTTAACACCTTTGTATGCAATCTATCGCCTTCTATCCGTAATTTCAACCCCTTAGCGGTTGAATTTCCAAAAATCCCTTCTTAGTGCTCACTTAATCACTCAAGGAACACATTTGCCAAATTTCGTGTTTCAATTCATGTCAATCAGTTTCGGCTGTGCATTTTTTTATTAGTTCGAAATGAAACGAAATTGAACGAGACAACAGGAAACGCCAAAAAAATCCTCCCACGCCCTTCTCCGCAATTTCATGAGTATTGAGGCGCTTTTAAGAAAGGGAGTAGGTCGAAATAAATCGAAATAGGTCAAGACAAACGGAGATAAGCCGAAACAAGTTATGGGACGAAACGCGACCTTGATCTGTTTCGTTCTATTCTCCGAATAGTGAAGAGAGTGTTTCAGGTGTTGTAAACTCTGCAACTATCTTTTTTGGTCTTATTTTTAAATTTATGGTCCCGGTCCAGGTACAAAGGAATAGCAAAAACTACTTTAATATGTTGGGTGGCAATAATTATAATAATAGTGAAAACCTTTTGGTATGTTATTTTGACATTTGGAAATGGAATAGGTACGTGGAATCGGTTTATCCCTTGATCTGTTATAATAGTATTAATGTGTAATATCAACATAACATGGTTTCCTGCCGGGAAGGTCAAAAGTTAAAAACCTATATGTGTTCTCTGAACATGTGTCGAAGGCAATATCAAACAAACAGCAACTTGATGTCATATATACGGACTGTGCAAATGCTTATGATAAGGTGAATTTTTATCAGGGTTATCAGGTGAGTCGCTGTGGTTTTTAACTTCATACTTAACTTCGGGAGTTCAGAGAGTTACGATAGGTAATGTTTATTCCAATCAATATGTTGCACCTCCGAGGTAATCCAGGGCAGTGTATTTGGCCCTCTGTTATTTTTAATCTTTGTTAATGATTTGCCTGACTGAGAGTCTGAGGGTTAGGTCTTTGGGACTGTTGTTTGCGGACGATTTTAAATTATTTAAACCAATTAATAATATTGATGATACTAGAGCTCTCCAAAGTGATTTCAACTTGAACCTGGATCGGTTTAAGGAGAATAAGATGCTTGTTAATACTGGAAAGTGTTGTGTTGTCTCTTTTTCCCGGAGGATCAATGCAGTCATTGAAGACTTCTACATTGGAAATTGTAAGGTTGTGAGGTGTAAGGAAGTTAAAGACCTGGGAGTGGTTTTTCAGGACAATTTTAAATTTAACAATCATTACAACTCCCTGATTAACAAGGCATATAGAATTCTTGGTTTTGTTATGCGTAGAAGTAAAGATTTCGATATACAATCAACTACAAGATTTTATACCTCTCTTGTAAGACCACATCTTAAATATGCGTCAAATAACTGGTCTACCAATTGTTAATAGGTAGTTACTTTATTTATATTATTTTTATGTACTTTTGTAGTACATGCTGATTTGTCTAGTTTTAAGTAATTGTGATTGTATTTGTTTTCTTTAGACCTTTGCATGTAGCTACCTCAATAGGTGTTTGTAAGGAGTAAAATAAAATAAATAACTTTTGTTGTTGAGGAACAAACAAAACATTTATTAATAATTTTATTCATAAGTACTCTGTTTTTTATTAAGAATGTTATAGCAATTTTAATAAAGTTTAGAATTAGTAGTAATTCGGTGTATATCACGCCGTCAAACAAATTCATATAATTCGCTGGAATTAATCTCGTCGCCCTTTAAGTCTAAGTCCTCTCTAATAAACTTGCAAAATTTATCATTTCATTAGTAGAGCGAAATTTAATATTTACTCGCTTATTTCTGTACATAGACGCATAATTCAGTTCGCAGCATTCAGGACATAAACGCTCTTAATTACACTCTCGGACATTCCAGAGTTTTTCCGGGATTCCGTATAAGAGCGCGCTGGAGAGTTCCCACTCTCAAATTTAATTTTAATTCTAAACAAACTGATATGAAAAGGGGATATAAATAGATTATTTTGTTTTATTAACTTTGTAAGGTTTTTTTTATTAGCAGCATCACCGTATGATCGAAAAAACGGCGTCCAGT